TGACACTTTTCCATTAAGTGCTTAATCTCTTAATTCTCTTCATCCAACACTCAGATCTAGTCCCACAACATCATTCTAAGTCATAAAATTTCCACCTTTATGACTTTTCATGTCTAGAAAAGGTCCAAAAGCCAAAACCTTAACTTATTAATCCATTAAGACATCATGACACTTTCATGGAAGGTACAGAAGCATCAAGATCAAAAGTGCATCTTTTTCAACTTAATCCATTAAGTCCAAGTCTCCAACCTTCAGATCTGAATCACAATGATGTTTAGATGGATAAAGTTTCCAACTTTACCCATAATAAGGTCACAAACTTTCAAGATCTAAACTTTATGCACTAAAATGACCAAAAGCTCATAACATCCAAAACTAGCTAGATCTAACAAATGCATCATCAAGATTCAAACTTTATACCTCTAGAAGAGAATTTTGGAAGCCTAAGCCTCCTATTTTCGAAGGGGGAGACGCGTTTGGATGGATTTTCAAGGTGGAGCGTTTCTTTGAGATCCAAGACATTAGCGTACGATATCGTTTGAAGGCAGCAGCAATTTGCTTGGACGGCAAGGCGTTGGCTTGGTTTCGCTGGAGTCAAGCAAGGAACCCGTTCCGCTCTTGGGAGGAATTAAAAGAACGACTGTTGGAGTGATTCTAGTTAACAGGTGAAGGCAACCTTTATCATCAATTTCTTGCCATCCGGCAAGAAGGAACTGTACGTGACTACGTGAGCAATTTTGAAAGACTATCATGCCAGTTGGGTGACATACCGGAAAGCGTGTTAGAAGGAATCTTCGTCAATGGTCTCAAGGATGACACACGTTCGGCTGTCCGTATTTTACAGCCAACAAATCTGTCCAGAGCTAGGACTCTTGTTGTTATGATCAACGAAAACAGGTTCAGTATCGACACACCCAAGACTAGTGGTGAGGTAATTCGGTCCAAAAACAGCGGATTTAGTCGATCAGGTAGAGTTTCTAGTATTTCGTCTTCACCCAACGTAGGCAGCCAGGGTACCACCCCGACTAGTACTAACTCGACAGGCCTTACTGGTCGGTTCAAGCGTTTAACAGAAGTCGAATTTGCTGAGAAAAGATCCAAAGGCATATGCTTTCGTTGTCACGGAAAGTTTTCTCCAGGCCATGTTGCCATGGTAAGACACTTCAGGTGCTAATCAGTGATGAACAGGAAGAGGGTAATGAAGTGGGAGAAGGGGTGGAACACGCACACCTCGATGAAATCGAGGTATCCTTTAACTCGGTAAGTGGACTCACGCCTCCTCAAACCATGAGGGTGAAGGGTTTCATTGGAGGATTGCATGTGCTAGTCTTAATTGACAGCGGAGCAACGCATAGCTTCATCTCCAAGCAGGTGGTTGCTCAATTGGGACTGACAATTTCAGAATCAGGTGCAGTCCGGGTACGGATTGGGAACGGAATGTGGGAAAAAAGTAAGGGTACATGCAAGGGAGTCGTACTAAATTTACCAGAACTACAAGTTGTTGAAGAATTCTATCCCTTTAAGGGGATCAAATATTATTCTTGGGATTTCTTGCCTTCAGACACTAGGCGATATGACAGTCAATTGGCGAGAATTATGGATGAAGTTCTGGGATGGTAGTCGCCAAATCACCATTATAGGTGATCCGAGCCTATCAAGAACGTTGGTATCTTGCAAGTCCATGCTTATGCTTTGTCACAACGAAGACATGGGGTTTTTAGTTCACATGAATTCAGCAGAAATTTCGTCGCCAAACCCGCTTCCACTGCCGGCCATTCAAGAGGTTATTAAGAAATTCGAAATGGTTTTTCGTATGCCAATCGGTTTACCCCCCCCCCCAGCAGCCATGAGCACGCCATCACCCTTCACGAGGGCACCGCTCTAATTAGTGTTCGGCCCTCTACCGCTATCCCCATGCACAAAAAGATGAGATCGAGAAGCTAGTTCGGGAAATGCTCAACGTAGGTATAATTCAGCCAAGTACTAGCCCTTTTTCGAGTTCAATTTGGTTGGCCAAGAAAAAAGACGGCAGTTGGAGGTTTTGTGTGGATTATCGAGCACTTAATAAAGCAACTGTTCTCGATAAATTTCCAATTTCAGTCATAGACGAGCTACTCGACGAATTACATGGAGCTACTATCTTTTCCAAGCTTGACCTTAAATCAGGGTATCACCAAATTCGCATGAAGGCCGAGGATGTTCCAAAAACTGCTTTCCGCACTCATGAAGGACATTACGAGTTCTTGGTCATGCCCTTCGGGTTAACCAACGTGCCCGCTACATTCCAATCTTTGATGAATAAGGTTTTTCAGTCTTTCTTACGACGTTTTGTGCTAGTTTTTTTTATTATATTATTGTTTATAGTAAAACCGAGTCGGAGCATGTCGAGCATTTAACTATTGTGTTGGAAGTATTGCAACAGAATCGTCTTTATGCTAATCAGAAAAATGTGCGATTCCACAACGCAACATTGAATATTTGGGGCATATAGTTTTGGCATAAGGCGTGGAGGCAGACCCAACTAAAATTGAAGCTATGATGAGTTGGCCAGTTCCTACAACACTTAGCGAACTACGGGGGTTTTGGGGCTAACCGGTTATTATAGAAAATTCGTGAAGGGTTATAGCCTCGTTGCTAGGCCATTAACAGACCAATTAAAGAAGGATAGTTTTAAATGGACCGAGGAGGCTACCAAAGCATTTAGGTTGTTGCAGCAAGCAATGAGCGAGGTACCCGTCTTGGCTTTACCCGATTTTCACAAAACTTTTATTATGGAAACAGATGCGTCAGGGTATGGTCTTGGAGCAACTTTCATGCAGGATAACAGGCCGATAGCTTTTTATAGCCATACTTTAGGTGTTCGCGATCGGATGAAATCAGTTTATGAAAGGGAATTGATGGCTATTGTTTTTGCTATACAAAAATGGCGTCCTTACTTACTCGGGAGAAAGTGTTTGGTTCGAACCGATCAACGCAGTCTCAAATATTTATTGGAACAACGTACCGTTGCAGAGGACCATTAGAAGTGGCTATCAAAAATATTGGGGTATAATTTTGACACTGTTTATCGACCCGAGAAGGAAAACAGTGTTGCAGATGCACTATCTCGTCGGGAGGTTTCGATTCAGCTTGGGGCTCTAACGTCGGCCTGCAAGGTAGATTAGGACGAGTTGTAGAGGGAAGTAGAAAATGATGAAGAGTTGAAGGTCATCAAACAGCGTATTATTTCCAGGCAACAAAGACCATTAGGTTATTCTATCAAAAACAACCGCTTGTTATATAAGGGTCGATTGGTTCTTAATCGTCAGTCAAGTTGGATTCCAAAATTATTTCTTGAATTTCATCATGGAGTTATAGGGGGCATTCGGGAGTGCAAAAGACGTATCAACGCATGGTTCGGGAGGTTTTTTTGGGTAAGAATGAAGCGCAATATTGCAAAAATGGTTGCAGAGTGTGATGTTTGTCAACGACAAAAGTATTCTACCATGGCGCCTAGCGGGTTATTACAACCCCTAGAGTTACCCAATAAGGTATGGTCCGAAGTTACTATGGACTTCATCGATGGTTTTCCAAAGTCGGATGGGTTTACAGTCATTTTTGTAGTTGTTGATCGCCTAAGTAAATACGCACATTTTGTTCCGTTAAAGCATCCTTATACTGCCTTAACGGTTACTATTGTTTTCCTCCGAGAGGTTGTGCGCTTACATGGGATTCTGGAGTCTATCGTGTCTGATCGAGATAAAGTCTTCCTAAGTTTATTTTGGAAGGAACTGTTTTAGTTGCAGGGTACTAAGTTAAAAAAAAGCACGGCCTACCAGCTGCAAACGGACGGGTATACTGAGGTTGTTAATCGTTGTTTAGAGACGTATCTCCGTTGTTTCATTTCCAATTCGCCAAAAAAATGGGTTCGTTGGCTGTCATGGGAGGAATATTGGTATAACACACCTTTTCATACTTCCACTCATACTACCCCTTTTCGGGTCTTGTATGGTTGAGATCCACCTCATTTGTTGCATTATGGGACTCAAAGGACGCCGGTTAGTACTATTGATCAGTACCTTCAGGAGAGGGATCGAGTTTTGTTTCAATTGCGGGGTGATTTATTAAAGGCTCAACAACTAATGAAAAATCATGCTGATAAGCATCGTAAGGAGGTGGAATTCGAAGTCGGGGAGTGAGTCTTCTTAAAACTGCGACCATATCGACAACAATCTGTGACAAGGCGTATGAATGAAAAGCTGGCGGCCCGCTATTTTGGTCATTTTGAAATAATAGCTCGAATTGGTAGGGTGGCATATAAATTGCAGCTTCCACCCTCCGCTCGTATCCACAATGTGTTCCATGTCTCACAACTACGCAAGGCTATAGGTAACCGGGAAGCAAACCCACAACTACCTACTACTTTGACTGATGACATGGAGGTGTTTATACAACCTGAACTAGTGGAAGGTGTTTGAGATGGAGCCATGGGTCGTGAGGTTTTGATTCGTTGGAAGGATTTTCCAATATATGAAGCCACCTGGGAGAATCTGGTTGAGATGAACATGCGTTTTCCTGAGTTCCACCTTGAGGACAAGGTGCGTTTTTAGGAGGGGAGTAATGATACGACCCATGTTGGTCGTTTTGGTCAGGTCTATCGACGAAGGGATAAACATCAAGATTCAAGAGAGAGTTTTTAAATGTTTCCTTTTATTTAGCTTTCCTTTTAATTAGAGTATTAGTTTTTTATTTAGTTTAGAATTGCTATTTTCTAGGATCCGGTTTTGGTTTATGATTAGGATTAGCAAGACTATATAATTAATGTTCTATAGATTACTTAGGTTTTACGCTGGAATAAAAGTCTTAGACGCTTTGCTGGAGAATTCCCTGTTTCTCGAACCACAGGTGGTCTGGTTAAGGTTCCTACCTTCACGTTAGGATCTTGAACCTATTATTGTCTTAACAGGACTGCCTGGAAAATCCACAACTTGGAATTTAAAATTTAAAATTATACATATAAAAGCATGAAAATCAAATAGTATAATGACAAAAGCTAACATAGCATTGACTTTTAGATCAGGATATTGAGGCCATTGAATTCGGAATGGAACACTATCACTGAGTAAAATGCACCATGTCTGCTCAAGAAAGGTGACAAAAAATTTAAAATAAATAAATAAACAAATCGATCCTACCAATAAGAAATCTTTATTTGAAAAATATAATAAGATGATAAAAGAATCAAACATGTACATCATATCTTGATTTCTCAACTAAATGTACATTTGCTCTTGTAATTTGAAAACTTGTTTCCACATTCTGTAGTAACTGTGAACTAAGAACCATAAATATTGTATTACAATAAAACAATTCGATTTTTCAAGATTCAAGCAAAATATGTAAAAAAGCAATGTAACGAAGATAATAAATATATAACCTACCCATCATCTGGAACATTTGAGACATTGAGCTTTACAGGACATAAAGGGTGAGCCAAACTCTTCCAAAATCTAACCAAATAAAATTTCAAAACAAAACCCATTACATAAATATTAATGTAATCACAAACCATATAGAAAAAATAAGCAGATTGATCAGATAAATAAGAGGGTAGATGTATCAGGCATGTCCAGGTGCTTTGATTTCTTAATGTTATTTATTCCCCAGGGTGGTTATTGATACCGTAGGGTAGTATATGATTTCCAGTAAAGTTGCTATTATAATATTGTTTCTCTTATCGAATCAACCAAGAAAGTAATATGAGAACAGAAGCTTGATGAAATAATATAATTAAAATCAGGAAAAAGCCAAATACCTTATTGATTTTCAAATATGGGGGCCAAAAATGAAGAAACTTGAAGAAGTAATCAAATATATGCACAAATGTCTCATGATAGGCAAATCAAAACCAAATATTTCGTTCCAGACACTGTAAATCGAAACTGAACCAATCAGACAAGTATAATAATCTCATGAATTCGAAAAAGACTGAAATTGTTTAGAAATCCTTGGGGAATACCTGGGCGTACTCTTCACCATCTTCCGTCGACACCATATCTCACTTCCAGCTGAAGACAATTAATCGAGGTCTATTTAGTTTGGGAGAGAAAAAAGGGTAGATGTAGAACAAATATCCTCAAAAATAAAACTGTTGATTGAGCATGTGTCTTCATCGCTTGTTACAAATCCATCCCCCCAACGAAATAGAAACGTTTAGAGCTTTTTTTGGGTGAGACTCAGCAGACAACAATCAGAAAGAACCAAAACCGAACCAAAGTCGCAGGTGGGCAGCCCAACGGAGGCGACGTGACTGGCAGGGCTGGCGAAGGGAGCCAAGCGGAGGGATACGTTTGTAGATCGACCTTTGATAAATCGATTTCTAAAGAGAAGTGGGGATCGATCGGAAAAAGAGAACCGTTAAACTGAGTCGTTGACACCGCCTGGGAGCATGAAATTGGTGGAGCAAGAGAAGAACGTGTGTCCTTATAGACAGAATGGCCGATGACTCACCTTTTTTAGCCACCAAACCGAATTGACCAGCCGTTGACCAAACGGCTCAAAACAGGGTATTGTAGCTAAAGCACATTTGAAATTTATTTTATGTGTAATTACGATCTATAATGCTAAAATACATGCCTTTGAGATTGTAAATTATGAGATAACGTAATTATATTTCAATTCTAGGGATAATGTCATAAAAAGTCTTAAGTTTGGCAGAAAATGTCGGTTTTACCCTTCGGCAGATTTTTTGTTCGTTTATACCGCAAACTTATCATTTTTTTGTTGGTTTTGCCCTTTTTACCTGCAATAGCAGGTTTCCAGGTTACCATGAATTATTTTTTTACGAAAAAACCCTTAAGTTTACAAATATTTTGCAAAAAAACCCTTAAGATTATAAAATATTTTAAAACAGTTAAACATATGAATTATTTTTTATTAACTATGTTAAAACAGTTAAACATATGAATAATATGACATTAGTTACATTCAATTAATTTTTTAAAAAGGAAAATAAAAATATTTTATATGTTTAAAATGTTTGTATTTTAGAAATAATAAACTATCATATTTTTTTATAAAAGTAAATATATTTATATAATAAATTAGACAAATATATTTATATTTTATATGTTTAAAATGTTTATGTTTATTTTTGATGTTTAAAATGTTTATAATATTTTTATAAAAAATATATGATAATATTATTATGTATTTTAACATATAAAAAATATGATACATTATTATTTCTGAAATACAAACCTTTTAAACATATAAAATATTTTTTTTCCTTTTAAAAAAATTAATTGAATGTAATTGATGTCATATTATTCATATGTTTAACTATTTTAGCATACTTAATTATTAACTATCAGACGTTTTTAGTTTTGCTTTGAAAAGTTGAAGTATTAATTAATAAATATATTCAAATTTTAATAAAACTATGTAACTTTTTTAAAATTTAAATATAAAAGGTTTATATCAAACCAATATAAAATTTACCGTATGTAAAGCTAAAAATATATTTAAATTTTGGTTTCATAATATAAGTTCAATAAAACTTATATTAGTTTTGATATAAACTTTTGACATTTAATTTTTAAAAAAATTATTTAGTTTTATCAAAATTTGAATATATATTTATATTTTATATGTTTATAATCTTAAGGGTTTTTTTGCAAAATATTTGTAAACTTAAGGGTTTTTTCGCAAAAAATAATTCATGGTAACCTGGAAACCTGCTATTGCAGGTAAAAAGGGCAAAACCGGCAAAAAAATGACAAGTTTGCGGTATAAACGAACAAAAAATCTGCCGAAGGGTAAAACCGACATTTTCTGCCAAACTTAAGGCTTTTTATGACATTATCCCTTCATTCTAATGACATATTATTTTTCATTCTAAATACATATTATCTATATATTATCTCTAATGCGAAAATATATACCTCTTAGGTTAACCGAGTATTTAATGCAAAATATGAGTTAAAATCCATTATCACGACTACTCCTCTCTTGTTTAAACAATCCTCAAAATATTAATAATATGTTGGGGATTGGTTAAACAAGAGAGGAGTAGTCGTAATAATGGATAACTCATAGTATTTTGTGTTAAATATTCAATTAACCTCTCAAGATCATTATACAATTAATTAACCACGGGATAATCCAAAAATAACAGTTATAATTTAGTAGTTTATGAACAAATTTAGTAACAAAGACGCGACTAACAGCTATCCGAACTTACATTTCATATTTGACATTTGCCACAACCGGTACTTTTGATAGAGAAGACGTATTATCTTTTTTGATGAAAAACTGGTTCTCCTCGCTTGCGGTTTTATAAAACCACACCAAACGTATTATCTTAAGTTTCATATTTGACATTGCACCGCTCTATAAACTGAACCAAATGTTTCTATATTTCCAAAAACTATATTTGTGGTACGGTTTTGGTTAAAAATCGCACCACGCTCACAACAATAATTTTGTATAAGAATTAAATTGGATTTAATTTTGTAATTATATTTAAAAAGAAAATATCTAGTAAAGTTCCAATATTTTAGCACATATTATGAAAAACACAAACTAAATTTTATTTACAAAAAGAGCATAATAGTTAAGAATGTCAAAAATCAATGTGGGACACCGACCCCGCGAGACCCCGCTTCCTTACGAGGGTATTTTTTACAATTTTTCCGGGTTCAGGGGCGGATTATACCTCCGTTTAGTTTTTGGGGGCAAGGAGTTGCATCACGAATGACCTGTGGGCCCCTTAAAATAATTATTGTATATTTAAATATTTTATTTATAAAGATAAATATTAAATTTAGAGTAGTCATGTAATATATGTTTTGTATTTTAATATTTAGTGTGATATGTAAGCATAAACGAAATAAACGAGTTAAAAATACGGTAAATAAGGTTAAACGGAGGTTTTTGGGCCAAATGGAGTTAACAGGGGATTCGGGGGAAATGAGAAAATGGGGGGGGGGGGGGGCAAAGATCGGTGTAACACCCGGTTCCTGGTATGTTTTTTTTTAATTAAAGAAAACTCATGTTTTACTCTGGGACTCGGCGAGTTGGAGGACCAACTCGTCGAGTAGACTCGACTTTGGATTGGAAGGATAAGCGATCTACTCGACGAGTCGGAAGACCGACTCGACGAGTAGGAGCTGTATGGATGAAACCCTAATATTTAGGATTTGCACCCTATTTAAACAACTTATAACGCCCCAACACAGCCTCCATTGTTCCTCCCAACCCAGCGAAAGCCCTAACTCGAACCCTAAGCCTCTTTTGTGTGTTCTTGAGCTCTTTTGGTGATTTTTGGTGTGCATTTGAAGTTGGAAGAGAAGGAGGAAGCTCGGAAGCTAGTAGATCCAGAGGTTTTGCTTCATTCTTAGTTCATTCAAGGTAAAAAGCTTGAACCTTGACCATCTATCTCCTAGATCTTGTTTTGGGGCTATTTTCTACCCTTTTTTCGAGTTTGTGAAGTCATAATCGGATTTTGTGGGTGTGGTTGAAGTTGCACTTCAGATTTGGAACCATTGAGGGTTCCCATGGCATAAAGGTGCCAACTTTATGGCCATGGGAGACCCATGCATCATATAAACCTCTTTTGTGGCCTTTTGAGCCAAAAACCCCATTCATGGACGTCAAGATTGGAACTTTATGTATAAAATGGACCTTAGGAGGTCAGATCTATGGTTTTGATGTATTAAGACTCATTATAATCGACTGGATAGTTTTGGACAAATAGAGACTCGGCGAGTCGCTTGGGTGACTCGGCGAGTCGGGTCGCATTTTCCTCCTAATGTTTTCTGGAAATGGTCCGTGGTTGAGTGGAAGGAACACTCAGCCTGTTAGGGGTTGTGATGGACTTGAAGATCAAAGGACCCGGCGAGTTCAAGAAGAAACTCGGCGAGTCATAGACTGAACATCTTCATATGGATGAACATGAACTCGACGAGCTCAAGGACGAACTCGGAAAGTCGGTTGAAGATAGCCCGATGTGTTGTTAAAGGTGAACTCGTCGAGCTCTTGCAAGATTCGACGAGTAGGGACGAGGTTGTAGCTTTTCTTATACGAGGGGACTCGACGAGTTGGTGACCCAACTGGACGAGTCCGGTCAACCAGATGTTGACTTTGACCAATTTGTTGACCTTGACTGTGACTTGGACTAGAGTAGACCCTGGTGGGGGTTATAAGTATGGATTGGTAATATAGATAGGATGTTGTGTAGGGATTGAGGAGTCAAGAGGAGTCGATCTCCATACCGAGGACAGTGCGGACACTACACTACATTGAGGCGAGTTACCTTCCAGTAGAAGTGGGTCTAAGGCCACAATGCCAGCCCACTAGTAGGAGTTGTAGTTGGATGATTGTCTGTGTGATAATTATCTGGTTTTCCACTAACTGTATGCTTTATGTGCTAGTATGCTATGTTATTATGTGGTAGTGGTAGGGGTAAAATAGCCTTGGATACTGGTTGAAAGATACCGAAGGAGAGGTTAGCTCTCGGTTACCGGTTAAAAGATACCGAAGGGGAGGTTAGCTCCCGGCTACCAGTTGAAAGATACCGAAAGGGAGGTTAGTTCCCGGCTACCGGTTGAAAGATACCGATGAATAGGCAATATTGTATGGTATGTGGCATGATGGGGGGAAACTCCCTAAGCTTCATGCTTACGGTTTTCAGTTTTGGTTTCAGGTACCTCTTCATCTAAGGGGAAAGAGTCGGCGGAGTAGCAACGCATCACACACACACATGATTTCACATTTGAGATTTATGGGATTGTACTCTGATATTATTACTATCTGATGATATGGTTTTGAGACATATAATTGTGGTTTATGGATTTATGTGATATCAGTAATGTTTTCCTCAAACAAATTTTACAAACAATACAATTAAAATAAAAAAATTTCGGTCTCGATTTTTAGGATGTTACAAGTTGGTATCAGAGCCTTGGTTTGAGAGATTCAGTCACACCTTCGGGGGTGACTGGACTCAAATCGAGGGCTTGAAGGATTTTTATAAGAAAAATAGTTTTCTAAAATTTAAAAATAACGAATTTTGAGAAAGAAGAAGGTGTGTGATGCGTGCGATCGGCTGAGCTCAAGTAAGTTTTCCCTAAGATACCCATACATGTTATGTTATATCATATGATGTGATTATGAGATCTGCATGCTAGACTAGGGCTAAGGACCTAGGGAGGATGTCTTGTATGCATGTTATGTGATTATGAGAACTGCATGCTAGATTAGGGCTAAGGGTCTAGGAAGGATGCCTTATATGCCTATTGTATGAGTTTATTGCGCTATATGCTAGGGCTGGTTAGTCAGCAGTATGATAACCTGATTAGGTTATGCTCGGTCATGGTTGCTCGATGCACGAATGCAGCTTGCTTTGTACTTGTAGGGGTCCTAGCTAACTTTAACTAACTAGTAAAAGAATATGTAATAATACTCACGAGCTAGTTA